CAAAGAAATGAGCTATCAAGTGATCAAAGACATGGAGGAACTTTAAATGCATATTAAATGAAAGAAGCCAATCTGAAAAAGCCATATACTGTCTGATTCCAACTATATGACATTTTTTAAAAGGCAAAACTATGTAGACAGTAAAAGGGTCAGGGGTTTCCAGGGGTTATGGTGGAAGGAGAGATGAGTAGGTTGAGCACAGAGGATTTTTAGGGCAGTGAAACTATTCTGTATGATACTATGGTGGATACATTTTATTATTTATTCATCAAAATCCATAAAATGTACAGCATCAAGAGTGATGTCCTAATGTAACTTACAGACTTTGAAGATGATGTGATGATTGTCAGTATGCATTCATCAAGTGTAACAAATATACCCCTCTGGTGGGGAAATATTAAAAATAGGGGAGGCTAAGCATGTGGGGGTAGGTCGATATGGGATTATCTGTACCTTTCTCTCAATTTTGCTGTGAACCTAAAACTGCTTTAAAAATACTCTGTTTAAAAGGAAAAAAGAAAATAAAACTGGTGAGTTAGATTTCCAGTATCATTAAAGGACCTAAATACTGAAGCAGCTCTTAGCCATTCTCCTGTCTGGTATATTGAGCTAACACATATGGGGTGTGGTTTATCATTTTTGATGTCAAGAGTGATACAAGTGCATACATACATGTGTATATGACATATTTCCTGCTAAAAGTCACTGTACTTTTCTGCCGCCTACTATTCAGGGCTCAGACCTGCTGTAAATTTGGCTCACCCTGTAGTCCAGCCACAGTGTCTTGGTTAAAGTGCCCATCTCCTTTCTGGTACTTTGAAGACACAGTGGAACTTCATACCCAAGAATGTGGGCTCTGCAGTCAGCCTGCCTAGAGTGGAATTCTGGACACACCTAATTCCCAAGTGTGTGATCTTAGATTTTTGTTTTTTGCTCTCTATGACATCAAAACAGTTCCTGTAATTCCTACAGTGTAGGGTTTTTGTGAGGATCAAATTAAATAATACATGTAGAGCACGTAGCAATGACTGGCACATAGTTAAACTATGTTGTTGCTGTTGTCACTGTTACTTTTGTCGTCATCGTTATGATTATCATCAACCTTGCCTAATCTCTGCTGGTTACTTTGGGCAAGGGTCATTGCTTATTTGGAGCATGAAGAAGAGTCAGAAAGCCTCAGGAACTTAGGGCTGAGCCCTCCTGGTTCCTCCTGAAGTTGTCTGTGGAGCGAAGGTGTAGAGTCTTGATTAAATTAGCCTGATATCTTCATAGCAACCTGTCCAGGTGGTAAAGAGACTGATCACATCAGTCTCACGGCACCAGGAAAGACATGGACCTGAAGGTGCAGTGATTTGCCCACAGTGAATAGCGGGTCTGCACAGATGAAGGAACCCAGGCTCCCGTGGGGTCTCAGTTACGCTCACCATGGGTCTGCCTCATGCTGGCATCATCACAGTGTATTAAGCAATGCACTAGCTCTTGCAACACTGGCAGTAATTCATTAATTCTGGCATCTGTCTACTCCCAGCCAAAGAGAAATTGGCTCTGTAATTACCACCCTAATGATATCACTTTTGTTTTAACATGTACATAACATTTATTTTCTCCATCTGGGAGGAAAATGGAGAGCCTTCTTTCAGCCCCCCAAAGTCTTTGCGTAACAGATTAGCAAGCCTTGAGATGCTGATTTGTCCTGTTGGTATATTTTGCATTTTCAGCATCACTTTTTGAATCTCTCTGGGATGAGGAGGTCTGTTCAGGCTCTTATAACAAAATACCAAGACTGAACAGCTTATAAACAACAGAACTTTGATTCTCCCGGTTCTGGAGGCTAGGAAGTCTGAGATCAGGGTTCCAGCATGGCTGAGTGAGGCTCCTCTTCCTGGTTCATAGCCTGCATCTTCGCACTGTGTCCTTATGTGGTGGAAGGGGCTAGACAAATTGGGGGGAGGGGTCCTCTTTTATAAGAACAATGACCCCATTCATGAAGGTTCCACCCTCATGACCTAAACACCTCCCAGAGGCTCCACTTTCCAACACCATCATCTTTGTAGGTTAGACAAACATTGGACCATAGCAGGCGGTGACAATCATTGCATAACAATTATTAAATGAAAGTATAAAAAGTGCTTAGAATGCCTGGCACATGAACAGTGCTATGTATTTGCTATTTTCATGATTATGTAGTAATAAATAAGCACTCGTTTTGGCTGGTTGTTACACTGAATACAAAACATAGAAAAAGCACCGTCCTA